TTCTTTTGCTGAAAATATTTACTTTCTCTATATATGACAAATTAATTTTCATCTAAACTAACGGGAAAATACTTCCATTGTTGATAATTGGACTGCATCGTTTTTTATCTGTATACCGAGTGATATACACTAAATCACCGTTTGCATGATTATAATTACTCTTATGGTTAATGGAAATAGAAAAAATAACATTGATTTGATCAAAGACTATGTATGATTCTTTGTAAAAAATAAACAACCGACTACGAACCTAATTTCAAAGCAATCAGCTGTTCAGTTCTGGGTTCAAGGACAAGCGACAGACTCCTCCTTATATTCGCAATTTTTCACAGTCATCGTGACACTCGCTTGGCACTTTCAACATGGCAGCTCTAGCAATAAAGTTCTCCGGCGTTTTGGCAAGAAATTCAGCCAAATCTAAGCTACTATCTCAGTTTTTAGTGCCAAAAGTCGAGCAATGTCTGCGGGCTTTCTCTACTTCGCTTCCGATATACAAGAAGGAAATGTGAGTTATGCAACAATGTTCAGAGTTTTATCTGTTTAGTTTATAGTTTTTAAGATTTGAGTTAGACTATTTACTTTTCAACATTTCGGTTTATGAACAAATAAGCGAGTTTTAGTGAGGGATTTTTTCTTTCCTCTGAATGAATAGCAATTTTTTTCCTTTTCTCTCCCAATGAATAATTATTGGTACATGTAAAATTTCTGCCAGCCACTTTTTAGACGAAAAATAATATATGCAAACTAATTATTTTCGTTCCTTTTCCAATGAGTAGATATTTTCTCTCCTTTCTTTCATAATAAATACACATATCCTTCCTTTACTTTCCCAGTGAATATGGATTTTCTTTCTTTCCTTTCCCCATGAATATATATTAAGTAACTTTGCTGGCTCCTCCTTTCCTTACACTTTTTACTCATGTGGATATATTTTCAATTGTAGATTGCACCTCTGGATAGGATGTTTTAAGGAATATTTCTCATAAGTGGTAAACACTGTAAGTACCAAATTCAGTTAAAGAATGGAAGTTCATATTTTAATTTTGTTTGGCACAATATCTACAATGCAAATGTATTGTTTTACATAGTTTTGGTGCATTTCACATGATTCTTTGTACAGTTAGCTCTGTAGACTCGTGTTTCTTAGCTGTTAAAACCCCAGTCTCTACCTCTGCATCCTGTAATTGTCTGAGTCTTACGATTATGTATGAAAAGATGAATTGTTTTATATGTATATAGTTTTTTTCTTTCAGACTAAAGCTTACTATATTTTACTTTTACTTTCTAAATTTTACTTTTTCTATTTCCTGTGATACATTGACCTATTATGAGATATATTGAGAACAAAGGGTGACTGGGTTCTATTGAAGTGTTAAGACTAATTTTCTGTATCCTGTGTGTGCGCGTCTCTCTCTCTGTCTCTGTCTCTGTCTCTGTCTGTCTCTGTCTGTCTCTGTCTGTCTCTGTCTGTCTCTGTCTGTCTCTGTCTGTCTTCTGTCTGTCTCTGTCTCTGTCTCTGTCTGTCTCTGTCTCTGTCTCTGTCTGTCTCTGTCTGTCTCTGTCTGTCTCTGTCTGTCTCTGTCTCTGTCTCTGTCCTCTGTCTCTCTGTCTCTCTGTCTCTCTGTCCTCTGTCTGTCTCTCTCTGTCTCTCTGTCTCTCTGTCTCTCGCTCTCTCGTCTCTCTGTCTCTCTCCTCTCTCTCTCTCTCTCTCTCCTCTCTCTCTCTCTCTCTCTCTCTCTCTCTCTCTCTCTCTCTCTCTCTCTCTCTCTCTCTCTCTCTCTCTCTCTCGTCTCCTCCTCTCTCTGGCTCTGCTCTCTCTCCTTCTCTCTTCTCTCTCTCTCTCTCTCTCCCTTGCGCTCTCTCTCTGCTCTCTCTCCTCTCTCTCTCTCTCTCCTCCCTGGCTCTCTTCTCTCTCTCTCCCTGGCTCTCTCTCTCTCTCTCTCCGGCCTCTCTCTCCTCTCTCTCTCTGCTCTCTCTCATTCCCTGGCCTCTCTCTCTCTCTCTCCTGGCTCTCTCTCTCTCTCCCTGGCTCTCTCTCTCTCCCTGACTCTCTCTCTCTCTCTCTCCCCTGCTCCTCTCTCTCTCTCCCTGGCCTCTCTCTCTCTCCGTCTCTCCTGGCTCTCTCTCTCTCTCTCTCCTGGCTCTCTCTCTCTCTTCCCTGGCTGCTCCTCTCTCTGGCTCCCTCGCTCTCTCCTCTCTCTCTCTCCTGGCTCTCTTCTCTCTCCTTCTCTTTCCCTGGCTCTCTCTCTCTCTCTCTTCTCCCTTGCTGGCTTAGCACTCTCTTCGTCTCTCTCCTCCTTGCGCTACTTTACCTTCTCTCCTCTCTCTCCCTGGCGTCTCGTCTCGTCTCTCTCCTAATTGATGGCATCTCATCTGCATATAACAGACACCTTCTACTCTCTTTGAATCCTTCATGTTATTCTTGACTAGACTTACTCCGACTAATTGCATAGGGTGTTTTCATCAAATCTTCCTACTGCTTTCGTGTTGTTTTGCTCCGCCTCCGATGGCCCATACTCCTCCTCTCTCTCGCCTGGCCTCTCTCTCTCTCTATCTCTCTCCCTGCGTCTTTCTCTCTCCTCTCTCCTTGGCTCTCTCTCTCTTTCTCTCTCCCTGATTGGCCTTCTCTCTCCTCTCTCTCCTTGGCTCTCTCCTTCTCTCTCTCCCTGGCATTCTGCTCTCTCTCATCTTCTTTTCTCTCTGTCCCTGTGCTCTCTCTCTTATTTCCTCTCTCTCCCTCGGCTCTCTCTTCTCCTACCTTTCTCTCTCTACTTCTCTCTCCTCTCCTACCTACTCTCTCTCGTCCTCTCTCCTCTCTACTCTCTCCGTGCTCTCTCTACTCTCCTCTGCTCTCTCTTCTCCTGTCACTCTCTCATGTCATGCGTCTCTGTCTCTGTCCTCTCCTCCTTCCTCTCTCTCGCTCTCGCTCTCTCTCCCTCTACTCTCTCCTCTCTCTCTCCGTCTCTCTCTCTCTCGCTTCTCTCCTCTTCTCGCTCTCGTCCTCCTCTCCTCTCAGTCTCTGTCTCTCTGTCTCTTCCCTGCTCTGACTCTCTCTCGCGTCTCCCTCGTGTCTCTCTCTGTCTCTCTCCTGTCTTCTCTCTGTCTCTGTCTCGTCTTGTTCTCTCTGTGCTACTCTCTCTCCTCTCCTCTCTTCTCTCTTCTCTACTCTCTCTCTCTGCTCTCTCTCTCCTCTCTCTCTCTCTCTCTCTCTCTCTCTCCTCTCTCTCTCCTCCTCTCTCTTTCTCTCTCTCTTTCTCTTTCTCCTCTCTCCTTTCTCTCCCTCTCTTTCCCGCCTCCTCTCTTCTCTCCTCCTCTTTCTCCTCTTCCTCTCTCTTCCTTCTCTCTCTCCTATCTCCTCTCTCTCTCTCTCTCCTCTACTGACTCCTCTCTCTCCTCTCTCTCTCTCTTCTTCTCTCCTCTCTCTTCTCCTCTCTCTCTCCTGTCTCTCGCTTCCTCTCTCTCTCTCCTCCTCCTCCTCCTCTCTCTCTCCCCTCCTCCTCTCGTCTCTCGCTCTCTCTCTCTCTCTCCTCTCTCCTCCTCGTCCTCTCTCTACTCTCATCCTCTCCTCTGGCTCTCTCCTCTCTCCTCTCTTCTCTCCTCTCTCCCCTCTTCTCCTCTCTCCTCTCCCTCTCTCTCTCTCTCTCTCTCTCTCTCTCATTCTCTCTCTCTCCTCCTCTCACCCTGGCTCTCGCTCTCACCCCTGGCCTCTCTCTCCTCATCTCTCTGTCATCCCTTCGGGGCTCTCTCTCTCTCTCTCTCTCGCTGTCTCTCCTCTCTCTCTCTCTCTCTCCCTCCTCATCTCCTCTCCTCTCTCTCTCTCTCTCTCTCCTCTCTCTCCTCTCTCTCTTCTCTCTGTCGTCTCCCGCGTGTCTCCTGTCTCCTGCTCCTTCCTGCACTCTGTCCCTGCTCCTGTTCCTGTCCTCTTCCCTGTCTCTGTACTCATGTTCCTCTCGTCACATCTCTGTCCTCTGTCTTACTCGTCTCTGTCTCTGTTCCTGGATTCTCTGTCCTCTCCGCTCTCCTGCCTCGCGTTACCCTGGTCTACTGTTCTCTCTCTCTCTCTCCTCTCTAACTCTCTCTCTTGGCTCTCTCTCTCTCTTCTTCCTCTCTTCACTAACCTCTTTCTCTCTCTCTCCTCCATCTCCCCTCGAGCCTCTCTCTCTCCTTCTCTCTCCTCTCTCTCTTCTCTCTCTGTCTCTCTCTTCTCTCACTCTCTCTCTCTCTCTCTCTCTCTCTCCCGTCTCTCCCTCTCTCCCTCTCTCTCTCACTCTGTCTCTCTCTCTCCTCTCTCACTCTGTCTCCCCTCTCTCTCTTCTCCACTCGTCCTCTCTCTCTCCCCAATTTCTGTCACATCTCTACCTCACTCCCCTGTCTCTCCTCTTCTCAACTCTCTCCGCTACTCACTCTACCCCTCTCCCTCTCTCACCTCCTCTCTCTCTCTCTCACATCTCTCTCTTCTCACTCTCTCTCGCTTCGTCACCTGCTCTCTCTTTCTCTCTCTCTTCTCCTCTCTCTCTCTCTCTCTCTCTCTCTCTCTCTCTCCCTTCTCTCTCTCTCTCTCTCTCCTCTAATCTTCTATCTATCTATCTAATCTATCCTATACTATCTATCTATCCTATCTATCTTTCTCTCCTTCTCTCTCTCCTCTTCTCTCTGCTCTCTCTCCTCTCTCCTTCTCCTCTCTGCTCTCTCTCTCCATCTCTCTCTCATATCTCTATCTCTACTCTCTCTCTCTCTCCCTCTCCTCTCTCTCTCTCTCTCCTCTCTCTCACTCGCTCTCTCCTCTCTCCTCTCTTCTCCTCCTCTCTCTCTTCTCCTCTCTCCCTCTCTCTCTCTCTATCTCTCCTCGGTTAACTACTGTCTGTCCTAGTCTCTCTCTCTCTGGTCGTGTTTCTCTCTTCTCTTTCTCTGTCTGTCTCTCTCTCTCTCAGTGGTTCTCTCTGCCTCCTCTCTCTGTCTGTCTTCCCTCTTCTCCTCGTGTCTTTTGTCTTGGTTTTTTT